TTGTAAGTCTGATAAATGCTTTGAAGTATTTTGATTCAGGAAGTTGTTTTTGGAAGAAAAGCATATGTCAATCTTGATCTAGTTCGTGTTCAGATTGTGAAAGAACTTCAAGCAAAAGAGATTTAGACTCAGAACGAGAAGTTCAAACTCAGAACGAGAAAGTTCAGACGCAGAAATTCTTCAGACGCAGGCGCTGAAATTATTCAGACGCAGACGCTAAAATTATTCAGACGCAGAATTCAGAACGAAACATAACAGCTAGTGATCTGGTATGGATTTCACAGAAGGAAAGTTTTGATTGTCTCAATCTAAGGCTATAGTTGATTGACAATCAAACATTACGACAAGTATGCATTACAACGGATAAAGCTCTACTTATGGAAATCAAGATTCTGATTGTATGGGCGACCAGAATCAGCGGGATTCAGATTTTATCAACCAACGGCTACTCAATCCATTTTATACAAATCTGTCCAAAGGTGAATATTGGAAGATGATCCTCTGAAGACTGTCCAACGGCTAGTTTGGAAGTGGAGGAGTATAAAAAGGAGATCAACGAGGAGCAGAAGGTAGAGAACGAAATCAAGAATCAACAAGTCCAAAGTCTGAGCATACTCCGATTCAATCTCTTGTCTTTCGTGAGCTTAAACGTGTAATCATTTGAGAGGTGTAGACAGTGTTACAAGTGTATGCTTAGGTGTGAGATAGTGTGATCTATCGGCTTGGTATAAGCAGCACCAGCTTCGGGGAGAAGTGCTTGGGTTTAAGCGGCACAACTCGCTGTAACTTCTCATTGATTTTATTAGTGGAATCCAGCCAGTAGGCTGTCAGCGTGGGAGAGTGGACGTAGGCTTGATCTAAGCCGAACCACTATAATTGTTTGTGTGCAGTTTTCTCCATCTCTAATCTCTTATTATATTGTTTATACTGCTCACAAGAACATTTGTCACAAAGTCTGATCAGAATCTGCTTGTTGTTTAGACTTTGTTCTTGATATTTTACTTCCGCTTTAAATTGGTAAAGAATTTATTTAGATCACCTATTCACCCCCCCCTCTAGGTGATCCTTGCTAGCTACATCAGGTGGTACTTGCCAGCCTCCGTCGAGCTCTTTTGTGCAAACCACGCGGAAGATCAACAATGCCAAGACTTGCATTCCAATAATGCTACTTTCCAAAGTACCTGTCTTGGGCTAAAGCTCTTTAGAGGCCTTTGGAAATGCAATTGCATTGTTCCAAAGTTTTCCAAAAAACGAACCAAACACCAATTGCATTTACCGAAGGAATTTTATAGCCCCAAACCCCGTTCCAAATGCTAAACCAAACACAGCCATTGTATCCTATTTATTTTTCATTTTATTTATGTCGGCTTCGCGGTTATAGTTTGAAACCAGTGTTTTCAAATAACATACGTAAGATTAGTGACTAATATAATCAAATCTCTTGCCAAGATACTGAATTTCTCTGTTTTTTGTGATAAAATAGGTTATGGGTTTCTTCAGATTCGATTCTCATAGTACAATAATGCATAGTTTAATTATTAGTCCATCGAATTGTAATAATATGCAAATAAGGACAGCCGGTTGTTTTCTCAAAGGCGTAGCAGTCAAAAACGACTGACCTTTGCTCTAATCCTACGCAACACAAACGTGCTTCACTATCCGCAAAGATCCACCGTGACTAGCGTGAATTTGAACATCGGATGGACCTTATCTTTTCCACGCGGTTGATACAATTGTTGTCCATCAAATATATGCATTTTATATAAAAAGACTAAGAATCAAGTCGTCCATGGCTTTTGCAAATCTTTCTAATTTAGTTTTTTAGAGCGTTTACTGGTCTAGTAGCCATTCAAAATCACAACCCCACGACCCTACTTGTACTCCTCATCCTTCTTCCTCTACCGTGCATTCATAAGGTTCGAGGAACTCATGTCCACATGATTCTACGAAACTTATACTACTTGTGAGGAAAGATATTGACTTAACCGATCGGAATGTATAATCTAAACAATAGAGAAACTGTTATCAACTATAGATGAAATAAAATGGCATTAAACTTGAGTGGAGATTCGTTGGCGAGTAACAGAAAAAATTTCAGTGCAAACATGAGATTTACCCATCTAATCGCACTTGCAAGACCAACAGAAGTTACGTGAATGCAAATTCATTATCAGAGGTGAGAGCTATGACATCCAACGCGAAGAACATCTACTACATCTCTATGCTCTGACCCAACGAAAAGGAAAATTCAAGAGAAGAAAGCAAGAATTAGGTCATGTAAAACACAAAATACAATTACCTTGTCTCCTCGAGGGTAAGAGAAAATTGACTTCTTCACACACATACAAAAACACACTTCAAATATAACATTACATAAAGATACTCAAGGGAGCTTTTATTCATGCTGTGATCAGATATAGTAGCGGCGGCCGAACTCTTCACATGGTAGAGGCTAACGGCGGTGTGGCCGGGAGATGACGACGGCAGGACGGATTTGAACAACCACCGGAGGCGGCGGCGGCCGCTGAACTTTCACAGATCTGTTTGAGATTAGAATTGGATTTCGATGGCCAGGCACGCTACTGGCGGAGGATGAACTTTTGTAGACGGATGTCGATGACCGCGACCATGACGACGACCACGACGTGTGTCCATGTCCGTGGCCGTGTGCCTCCTTGTGGACGTGTACGTGGCCGTGCTCCTCCTTGTGGACGAGTACCTGGTGGCTGTGTCTCTCTTTATGGCCGTGTCCCTCCTTGTGGACGCGTACGAGGGCCTGCTGTCCCTCTTTGCGGACGAGTGCATGGCCGTGTACCTCTTTGTGGCCGTGCCCGCCGTGGCCGTGTCTCTCTTTATGGCCGCCGTCTTTGTGGCCGTGGCCGTGGCCCTCTTTGTGTCCTTGGCCGCCGCGTCCCTGCTTCTGGCCGTGCGTGAGGCCGCCAGGTCCATGCCGGGAGCCTTGATGACCGCCGTGACGATGGCCGCCTCCCATGTTTATGTGCTGATGGTTTGCCTTGCGGGGGTGAATGTTAATTTGGAGATTCATTGTGATCGTTTATGGCGACGAAGAGCAAAATTATCAGCAGCAGCAGCGTATGGTGAGGCTAACTCTGAAGTCAAGGCAAGGCTTAGTCCTTAAAAGATGGGAGAAAGGCCTCAGCAGAAAAAATTGCTAAGAGGCCCCCTTAACTTTCTGTAATTGCATTAGAAAGTCTTGGTCAAGCAAGTGCCATTATTTAATTGGACGGTGGGGTGAGGACAATTCTTCTCATTGACTTATTTAGCTTGGAGATAACCCTCTCACTTAGTGCTTAAGGGAAGATTTATATGTCTATTTCTTCAATAGAACAATTAGTTTTACCTCACAATTTCATATTTCGTTTGCATCCATATATTATCTTAGAGAAATTTTTTGCAAAATGATTAAGCATCTCAATTATGTTGCGCATGTCTAACTTTACATTATCCTTAATTATATGAAACTAAATCATATCATTAAACTGAATCTGCAGAGAGTATTATGTCTTATCTTGGCTAATCCAACTTAAGACTTATTCATGCTTAACTTGATCTTTGAATTAAATTAACAAAGCAGTTATTTACTCATTACATGTTCAATATAGCTATTAGAATATGTCTCGAGTATTAAGCCGATTGGACGACCGCCTCGATGCAATGATGCCTAGCAATGCCACTCCATCATATGGGGTTCCGACCGTGGAAAGAGAGAGAGAGAGAGAGCGAGCAACCAGTCTTTGATCAAAAGAGAAAAGCTTGTTCGCTAAGGAAGGGAAAAGAGAGAGAGAGAGAGAGCAACCAGTCTCTGATCAAAAGAGAAAAGCTTGTTCGCTAAGGAAGGGAAAAGAGATGCCACTAGTGACGTTGGACAAAAGTGAAAAAGATGAGCAGCAATAATGGTGTCTATTCATGGTGGGCACTCATTATCTTCTTGCTTTTTCTATCCTTTCGCCAAATTACTTTATCCATAGCGATATTTCTTACTGCTCTTCTCGTTGAGTAAATTCCACCGGCCAAACTTAGTAAATCCGGCATTCAGACTATTTTCTCGTTTTGTTTACTTGATCGTTCGATCGTTTATTTTTCGCAATAATAACCATATTTTTTTCCTAAAACTATACCGATAGGTCAAATCGAATGGAGGGTTTCCTCCAGATTTACAAAAGATCAGATCGCTGCTGAATCAGAAATAGGACAAAGGGGTTAGGCAAGCATTATTGCCATTGAATGTTTCTTTAAGGTAAACCGCTCCTTCCACGAAACTTGCGGGGCACTTTCCTTCCTTTATGGGGTGTGACTGAGTCATACGATGTGACATAGCCTTGTCGTGCAAGTTTGACCCCCACGAATTTGTTCTTGTCGCCACTCTAGTGTGAATTCTTCTTGCTTTTCCTGTTTCTTTTTCTTTCTTCATTATTTCGCCACTTGGTTTTCAGTCTTCATAAAGTAAAGAAATTTTCCTATTTTCTCGATCACAATGGGACAGAGCTTGCGCGTTGCCTCAAATTTGCCAACCGAGTGATTTGTATAAAAAGGCTTTTGGTTTGCTAAATTAATTAGATGTTTATAAACTCCAAGAGAACTAAAATGCAGTGATAAACAATCTCGGGAGGGCACAGAAGTAGAGTTTTATAAGGAAGTAAGGTTTGGACCCAAGCACGTCCTTAATAAGCTTCATCTCGATTCTCATCCACATCTCTCTCTAGGGGTGCAACACGTGCGGGTATCGGCACGTTAAAATAAAAAACGCATCCGTGGATCCAGCATATCAAACAGATGGACCGCGGAGGTCCTCATGGGAGCGAAAGTTCCTCTTTTTGGTGTGGTTAACTCACTACCAAAAAGTTATAGGAGGTTGATTAAATTAAAGTGAGTGCCAACGAGACAAGAACCAAAGTGTAGTAACTGCTGCTATGGTATGCCCTTCAAGACACTTGGAGAATTCAGTGCTAACAGGAGACGAACACTTTTGCAAAAGCCCATGAGTAAGAATCCAAATTTATATATGCACATAAATACAATGACGTGAGAACTACGACATCCAACCGCAAAGAACATCTGCATCTTTACGCTCTGACCCAGTGAAAAGAAAACTCGAGAAGAAAGCAAGAATTAGGTCGTGAAAAACACATAATACAAGACCACAGGGACAACCACCTTATCTTCTCGAGGGTAAGACAAGTGACTTCTTCACTTGGTCACACGCATAACACAGTTCATATGTAACATTACATAGAGTAACTCAAGGGAGCTTTTATTCGTGCTATAACCAGATAGTAGCGGCGGCCGAACCCATCATCTGGTCGCGGCTACAGCAGCCTGGCGGGCAGAAGACGGCGGGAGGACAGCTTGGATAAACCGCCGGAGGTGGCGATGGAGAACCAGTGTATCAGGTCATCGGCCATTGAACGGTAAGTCTCCCATCGAGAAGCCCGCTTGACGTCACTCGCCTGAAAGATGAACGATGCGTGAGGCATGTATGTTTAGAAAAGCAAGAAGGAAGAAAACAAAGAGACTGAAATTGACCCGAAAGAACATTCTGAAGATACACTCCTCTATGTGTGGCCTTATTTCATGACGGAAAAAACGGGGGCCTTACCTGGAAATGAACGTCATATGTAAACACGACATCTTCCCTATCTTCGACCTCTTGGGGAGTTTCAGAGCTAGTAACCTCTTGCTTCGCATCTGGATTACAGGTGGTTAGACTTAGATGGTGTCCCCATGGGTGTTCCAACGTATGTTTGACACTGTAGTGATAGAAAAGATGATTCACCACAATTATGGAGGTAGATGTTTAATAAACAGGACTAGCATCAATCTTGGGTGTTCGGTATGTCATCATGTAAAATGACCTGAATGGTTTAACCTCAAACCCAACAATTCTTGCTGCCTTGGTTTCTTTATCTAGGTGATACTTGACAGTGAACGACAAGTGGTTGTAGATAAAATGTTTCTGCTCCTTCGTCTGAAAAAAGAAAAGTATTTAGTCGTTACGTATCCACAAAAACTTTCATATTTAAGACCTACTACGAAAAGAGAGAGAATGCTAAGATTGGTACTCACTCCAGCATATTGTCCCTTGAAGCCAACAGGAAAGCCACGTTGGTACACGGTGAAATTTTTCTGTTCAGTCCTTTCTAATGGAACCACCAAAGGGAGATTGTCCAATATCCTGCCATTAATGCAGGTGTCATCTAACAGTTGCAGATCATAAAGTTACAGCACTTCTTGCTCTGCACGCATTTTATGTTATTGGTGCTTACATGTTCACTCGATACTTGTCATCTATCTTTTCCTTGAAATCTTTTGCCTCTTTTGCATTGAGAATTCTTCGACAAAGAATCTTGCACCGCTCATCTGATCCCATTCTAATCTGTGATACAAGAAGCAATCAGGTGATCAGAAAGAAACGTGTTTGATCCTATCTTCAAGCCAGGCAGTAGATAGTTTATTAGGTTTGTCTGTACATACATATACATGTACTTGCATTGCCTACCTCATAAGGAGAGTTTTCACTGCGATCACCACGAAGAAATTTTCCAAGTTTCTCCGCACCATCAGCCATTTTAAGAGGCCGACAGTAACCAAGGGAGTAAAAGGCGTGAGGAAACTGTAATTTTGTCGATGTCAAAGGGTTCACCTTCACGGTCAAAGCTTCTCCCTGCACATGATGAGATTACACTTTCACACCATGATATATCAATCACATTCCGAAATGCTAAGAAGATTTCTGAGCCCTTGATCATATATAACAAAAACCTTCCAGAAATAGAGTAAGATATTCAGAAACTAAAGGACTTCCTTCGCTCTCCACCACACACACTTAGGGAACATGAGCCCTTCATCTTCGTCATAAATGTATGTACACTAGTACACTTTCCTCCACTAAATATGGAGAAATGCGATGAGATTCTTTACATGAAAACAGTGAAATGCTATAACATGTGTGCCCTGAATCACATCGAGCCATCTTATTGAGGAATTTCCTAAGGAAACCATTCACCTGATAACTATGGGAACGGCAATCCTTGGATCAGATGGTCACAAATAAGGGGGGTAATACTCGGATCAGAATACTCGTACTTGATTTACGGTGCTCTCCACGTAGAGTGTTTCCCACCGGCCAGATCACGTAAATTTAATGTCCTATTGATTACTTCTTCTACCTAATATCGTGTTTGATTGCTTGTTTTTCGCTACAAATATTATATCAATTTGGTGCAACCAGAACCAGGACATGGAAACACCATCCCATTCAAAGATGCAAACACATAAGAATTAAAGTATCCATTTGATTTCTGGGTTACTCATTTAAAGGGAAAAAATGAACTTTAAGCAAGCAGATACTCAACGTGGGCCAAAAATTAAAGTCAAACTCGCAGTAACAAAAGACAGCAAGCACCCTTTAAAGAAACCATCTTCTCAAGCATATGCAGCAAAACAGCAAGCAAGACCATCTTTTAAGCTTAAATAAGAAAGAGAGACTTGAAAAACAAAAGGGGGCGGTGGGGGGGCGGCTTCACCATCTGAAAATCCTGAGGAGCAACATCGGAAAGATGAAAGGACCGAGCGTGAACGAGGAGCAGCACGCAAACGGAGATCCATAGATACTGTCTCAGAGCAGCTTTCCCCATGTTCAGAATCAGAAGCGGATCGAACCCACCTACCAATTCCCTCTTCAAGAGGAGTGCTTCTAGGCTATGTGCTTGAGTAGTTTCTTTCCTTTCTCTTGGTGGAATCGAACAAAGATGCTATTTTTGGCTGTACTCTATAGGAAAAAGCTTGCCTAATCATACCGTTAGCTTGGAAAATGGACGGTCAACCCTAGACACACATTTTTCATCAGAGAGAAAGAAACTTGTGTTTTGCTTGGAAATTTCCAAGCGCTTGTGTTGGGGAATGGAAAATTTTGGGGCTGGCCTTTGACCATCACACCATTATACGGTCATGCTAGTAGCTCTCTTTTCTATAATAATAATAGCTTTTGATAAAAAAAAATTTATAGTAATTGCTAGAGAAGAATGAGAAGACAAACAGTAGGATTGAAGACAAAGACAATTCCCTCTACAAGAAGAATGCCGGCCAGGCCACAGGATAATTAGGGTTGACTGACTTGCCACATTAGTGATTTTTTGTCAAAATGAGTCAAAAATACTACATTAGAAATTCGTCAAAAGGTGTAAGATTAGGAAAAAAATGTCCAAAAAGTCATAAACTTATTGTACGTGGCCAATTCAGTCTTAAACATTTCAATTGTGCCATTCAGTCCTAAACATGTTGACAATTTGTCAATTCAGAATTCAGTCTTAAGGTTTAAAGTGTTTTCTATTGAAAAAAAAAGTTTGTAAAGAATAAGGGTTTGGGAACTCTGAAATAGTGTGTTCACGCGTTGGTATATGTGTACAAGAAATGGAAAATTGAAGAGCAACTTTCCTTTTCACGCAATACTATTCAAGCTTCAACAAACAAGTGATAGGGGTGTCAATGATTTGGTTCGATCTTTGGTTTTCACGAAACCCAAACCGAACCAATTGAGTTTGCATTAGATTTGAACCAAACCGAATATAACCCGAAGGTCTCGAACTGAAGACCCGGTTCGGTTCGGTTCGGTTCGGTTTTCGGTTTTCGGTTTTTCGCTTTGCAATATTAAGAAAAGATTTAGTGAAAAGGAAAAGAGATTGTGTAAATTGTAATATTAAGAAGATAGGCGATTTTCAGTTCAATTCAGTTTTCCGAACCGAAATTAAAAAAAAACAATCATTTTTTCATTATCCGAACCGAACCGAAAATGCACGAAATTTCGATTGAGTTCGGTTTCAATTTTGGTTCGGTTTTCTGGTTTGGTTCTGCCACCCCTACTAGGTGGTGATTAATCGAGACAAGCATCTAATAGATGACAACCCATGATAGATGATAATCATATAATGGATGGACAAACCACGTATTTCCGGTCCACCAACAAGAGCGAGATTAGGGACAAGGATCGTCCCCCTTGCCACAAAACACTCCAATACATGGTCCAGGCGGCAAGTGCGGACCGTTTCCAAAACCACCATGACCACCTCCGTATCCGTGGTCGTACCCTCCTAGCTCGGCGCGATGGCGACGGTGAGGATGGCCGTGACCGTTCGTCTTCAATTAGCACCCCTATAGTAATTTCCTCTTTTTGATGTGGATTTTATAGAAATATGGTGTTTTGGGAGATCATATGTTCATAAATTATGTATAGGCATAGACACCCAAGGAGGAGAGATTCTAAGTGGGACCAAAAGCATCAGTTTTGGTGTTGCTAATTTGCCTGTCCAGACTTAAATTGATTAATTTGGCATCTACACTTGAAGATATCCTATTCTTGCACCCCCTAATGGTATTAGCATCCAGATTTCTCTCTACTCTCCCATGTGCTACGCATAGGCACCCCATATGTTTCCCCTTTTAAATATGTTCAGCTGCTACTAACTATGTCCACATTGCACGTTTGGTACTCGTATCATACGCTCTAATCTTTAAAAGGTTCTTACCCTTCTTTTTCTTCGGTCACATTGCTATTAGAATGCCAATATAAGTCATCAGATATGTTCATATTTGGCAGAATTACCAAAAAAGTCCTAAACCTATTGCACTTGTGTCAATTCAATTCTAAATATTTCAATTGTGCCAAACCTTTTCATATTTTGCCAATTGAATCCATTCGATCAATTTTAGTCAGAAATCGCTGACGTTCATACCAACCATTCTACGTGGCATGTTGGTGCAAATGTGAACAATTTTTAATGATATTTTGATGGTTTTTGAATTTTTAAAATTTTCTTTTCTTTGTTTCTTTTCTTTTCTTTTCTTTTGAACTTAGGGCCGGTGACCCTCACTGGCCACAAGCAAGGGTCAGGACGCCCTCACTGACATTGGGCAAGGGTGTTGCGGCCCTTGCAAGCTCTGGACGAGGCTGTTACGGGCCCTTGCTTTGGCCGGCAAGGGCCGCAACGCCCTCACCCGTGGATGGCGAGAATCGCCGCCGGCCCTAAGTTAAAAAAAAAAAAGGAAAGAGAAAAAGAGAAAAAATAATTCAAGAAATATTAAAATATAATTACAAATTTTCTACATCAGTGTTGGTTGTGCCACGTAGAATGGCCGGCTTCCACGTCAGCGATTTTTTGCCAAAATTGGTCAGATGAACTCAATTAACAAAACGCGAAAAGGTTTAGGACTGAATGGGTACAAATGGAATAGATTTAGAGCTTTTTTGATAATTTTCCCATTCATATTCCTAGCACTAAAATTTACCAAACAGCGACTATTCATTGCTTTGCTAGCAATTGGGAATTTAAGTCACAGTTCTATCGGTTTTCATCAAACACATTTATGCATGCATGGACTATATTTCATCGACGAAATCTTTATCACATCAGGTGACACCTATTAAACCCGATATTTAGATTAGACGTGCATGAGCAGGTCTAAGATTGTTTTAGGCATGGCTTATCGATCATAACAAACACAATTGTCACACTCCCCTTTACATCAATTGTAATTGTTCACCGAGTGATTTGTATCGGAGGCTTTTTTGTAGTAACTAAATTAATTAGAGATATATAAAATCCAAGAACTAAATGGAGTGACAAACACTCTTGAGAGGAAACAAAAGCAGAGTTTTTTTAGAGAAAATTATAGGAAATTCATTAAAATTTGGTTTTTTTCTATCCAAATCATATTTCCCCCAAAAAAATATGAGTTCACTTTCCATCAATAAAACAAGCACAAAATCTATAAATCTAATTATTCAAAAAAAGTTTATTGAATAAGCTCAATCAACATTTTATGCATAGACAAGCCAACATAGTCCTTAAAATAGATCCATGTGTATTTTTTCCTTAAATTATATATATTTATTTATATAGGGTTACAAATCATGATGTTAATTAATTAATTAAAATAAAAACACCATTCTTTTGAACCTAAGAAAAGAATTGGCACCAAGTACTAAGTCAATGGTCAAAATGGTCCAAAATTCTTGTTTCATTACACCAAGTGCTCATCATCCCATCACATTCGGTCCTAACTCTCATGCCCCCCTCACATTCTCTCCTCTCATCCACAAACACTCCCTCAAACTTCCTACAAAGCCAAGTAAATTCATTGCCCAAACCCACACACCACAGCTTGAAACAAAACTGCAGCAACTACAATCAATATCAAAAGCTCTAGGTTAGAAAGAGTGTTTTGAGAAAAGAGAACGGAAATGGCGATACCGGATCAAGCAGCGGGCGCGGCGCAAGAGGTGCTGCACCAGCGCAAGAAGCTCCCCGTGTGCCCGATGCGACTGGCGATCGGGGGCTTCGCCGTCACGGCCGTTCTAGGCTACTCGGTCCTGTGCACCAAGAAGAAGCCCGAGGCCTCAGCCTTGGACGTCGCCAAGGTCGCTACCGGGATTAATGCGCATCCTAAGAATACTCATCCTCATAAGTAGACTGATTCATGAGAGTAGCGAAAGTTTATGATGTTCTCGTTTATCATTCGTTGCACAAGATCTCGGTTTTTGCTTTTGTCTGCTCCTGTTAAGAGTGAGTGCTATTTCATGTTGCTTTGTAATGGTAACAACCAATAAAGATCTCCAATGTATACGCGACCCTTTTCTTGATTCTTTATTTTCTTTCCTCACTCTTTTTCTTCTCGAATGTCAATTGGTAAAGACATCTATTATCGGTTATTCATCCTGTTTGTGTAAATCTTTGAAGACAATAGTTATGATGAAAGTATCCATTTATTTTCATGTTTTAAAAGTAAAACTATAACACCTATGATTGACATCTAGACTAATTCCATAGAGATGTCTCGACCTTTCTAATTGCTTATGCCAAATAATATTATCTTTCCCCTAGTTTAAAACATGAATCTCACTGGGCATCGATTAATCAGCAATCGAACCTGCTAATACTGACTATTAGACGAACAACAAGTGTTCATGAGAACTCCCTACCGATCGATAGGGGGCTTCAATGAGACATATTATTGTCGAGAGCAAATGAGGTAGTTTCTTTTCATGCACAAGGACAACAGTCGAACCCAGACCACACAAGCATCGGCGGGACCTATAATGTGTCCTTGAATCTGACAACTTCATTCTTCGAGTAAGCAGCAGAGTGTTGAGAGCCATCGACATGATAGTCACTCAGATGAATGACAGAACAATTGCTTTCTCACCAAAGATTCGTCCCAGCAGTGCAAGATGAACCTACAAAGGTTGCTCTTAAGCAGCGTTCAGGAGATGAAAGCTGGTCGGAACCAATTGATACGAGGAAGAAAATCGGTTGAAAGTAGCAGATTGTCTGATAAGGTTTCTGGAATTTCCAGAAATAAGCACCTGACCGCATGAACTGCTTACCAACGCCCTCAAATGTTTTCCTTTCTTACATTTCATAAGAAAAAACGACCACAAAGTATACCAAAACTGAAAAAACAGAAAAAGAAAGAAAAGTGACCAGGATGATATCAAGGAGGTGGCTCTCATGGCACGCGATTTAGGGTTCAAAACCGAGCACACCACGACGAGCAATTCTTTATGCTGATTACTCTGTATGCCTCCTCTAAAAGTACTTGTACAGAAATCAATAAAAAGCTCTTTACCTTCTGATTGTGTGGAACTAAGTTTAGTCGATCTTGACCGACGAGTAGATTAGCCTCGTGAACCAAAAGCATGCATAGAAACCGATCATGCCCGTCAGCATGAAGAAAGCGTATGACCCAATGAGCATGTAACCAAAGTAGAGGGCCCCAGAAACAGGTTTCGTGATATTGAGCTTGGTGAAGAAGTAGAAAGTGGCATAGAGGAAGAGGTATAGAGCCGAGGAACCTGAAGTGAGATACGATCTCCACCACCACTGGTAATCTTCACTGCACAG